ATGATGCATGATTAGCTGTCTTGTCCCAGGAGTGGAGTATGGGTTAATGATTAAAAGTTGTGTTTGAAGGTTGGATTGACTCTATCCTCTACGTGGTCACCTTCAACAACTTCCATTGAAATATAATCTTAGCTTGTCCGTCCAAAAATAATATCTGTAACAAACTAACAACGAGCTCAAGATGTTCATACATCCTTGGACGGTGAGATATAGACATGATAATATTCATGTCTTCATGGCAATGCATGAATCTTGTTACCAGTTCTATATTTTGCATTATTATCTAATCATCCCGACTTGAAAGAAGTTTTCATTTCTCTTCATGGTTCCAATTATAAAATCAGACAAGGCTTACTAGACATAAATTTTTTTGACATGAACGGAGAAGTAATTTTTTTTCGAAATGATTGTCGAGATTGTAATTAGACAAAATTTTGTACTATTTATGATATTGATATTGTCATGACACAATTATATATATGTTGGAAATATGTTCACATTTAATTTTAGCTTTCAATCTAAATTTGAAATGAACGGAGAACTATTGTCGGTAGATGGATTTTCAAATATTTTTAAAGTTTTAGTTTCATTATTATTGATTCATAAATGCTCACATTTTTAATAATGGGAAAACATCTATTTCAAGTTGTATTATTTTGAACAGACTTTTATATATATACCCCAACTTTAACACATAGACTTGTATTCATTCACCAAAATCAATATTGATCGAGACGATGTTAATCAACAGTTGTTTGATGCGGAGTCAAATGTCATATTAACGAAGAGACTTCATTTGATATAGCCAAAACAAAATAATTTTCCATTTGTTCTCTTCGTGTTGTAAAAATTAAATCGATATGGAAACCATTTTTCCATTTCATTTCACAATATGTCACCAATCATAGCCGAAAAGTATCTCTTAGAAGTAAACGGGTTTCCAATTCCAATTACAAATAGGTTTTGTGAAGTTGAAAACCTTTTTACTTAGGATCAATTACAACTCTAGAGAAACCTATTTACTTAATTATATGACATCGAGAAATTGCTCGTCAATATTGTCGGTGAGAACCAAAGATTAAGACATAAAGAGAAATTAAATCAATATAAACGGACGCAAATATATTGAGGTATTTGCATGGATTTGAAGCATCACCAAGAACCTATAAATAATGACAAAATAGTTGGCCAAATAGTTGGCCAATACGAATTACAAATTCTCTCTATAATTATGGTTTGTTATAATGTCAAACTAGTGATTACATGTTTGGATATGGTGGTTCAGTTTAATGACGGAAATTGGTAGTAGTAATACACTACTGTTACAATATGGTTAATTTTAGAGAAATAAAAAGTAAATTGGTATACCTTATATATTGTTAATTTTTTTTAACTTATCGGTGGTGTTGCGAATAATATCTCGTATACTACACTTATCATGGGAATATTGGGTAGAATAAACCTCCTAATTATAAAAAGAAAACAAAAAACTCGTATACAGAACAATTATTGTGGAAATTGTGTTTTTGT